CCGCGCGGGGTCCGCGGGGCGGGGCCAGTCTTTCAGCCGCCCCTCCATCGCCGCGGGCCTGGCGCCCGCTCCCGGGGTTGCCCGCCCCAGCGAGCCGCGTATGGACCAGGACCCCCGCGCTGCCCCTTTCCAGTACCCCCCCACCCCGAGTCCTGCCTGGCCGACCCTGGGTCCTAGTCAAGGATCCCCACCTCCAATTCTAGAAGGGAAATCCTGTTCTTCGAAGCCTGGGGCCTCACAATACCAGAGGGAGGAAGGCAAGAGGAGTGGAGAGGTGGTCTCGGGAAAGCTGGCTACCAGGACCCCACCGGGAGACCGCCAGGTGTCCCCCCAGAGAGTCAGGGTCTCTGCCTGTCCTTCCACTCTGTCCCCAGTGCGCATGCCTCCCGCTCACAAGTGCACCCAGGTTGTGCTCAAGGCGGACGGGCTCAACGAGGACGAGGTGACCATGAGGGTGAGCAAGATACTCGAGGAGTGGATGGAGAGGGGGGACAGTAGCTGGGAGAAGGCTCCAAGGGCAGGAATGCTGGACAGATGGGTGGGGTGAGGGGTGTGCAGGTCAGACAGACACCTGGACAGGCCAGCGGGGCAGCCCACTGAGGACACGCACCCAGGGTGGGGTGGCCCTTTAAGGCATCCCACCAGGTCAGCACGTGCCCTGCTGTCACATATTTGTGTGCTAACCTGACCCCACCCAGCATAGAGGCCCCATTCCTTTCTGCTTCCTCCTCAAGCCAGGCTTCCTTGATTCCCTGGGATATACCCTCTGCCTGTGGGGAGCCCTCAGCTGAGAGAAAAGGCAGAGAACATGTTGACAACTACTGGGCAGGGGACCACAGCTGCGGGGTGGGGGGCCTCCGCAGTGCCACCCCCTGACCTCCTCCCACTACTACATGGCATGCTAGCATTCCTGTGACCAGCACCGGGCCCTGTGCCTGACCCTGGACAGTCTCAGCCTCTTCTGGCCACCGCCCCTCTCCTCTGTACGGGCCTGACTACACCTGGCTATAGGCCTTCCCCGGGGGTCCTTCAGGGCAGCAGAGCCCAGAGAGGTCCCTATTCCTGGTGAGGAAGCCCACGCGGGCAAAACAGACTGGAGGAGCGAACCTGGGCCACAGGGGTACTTTGCAGCTCTGTGTGACCTCAGGATCAGTTTCCAAAGCCATTTAGCGAGAGCGGGTGTGGGATGTGCGCAGGTGAGCAGGTGCCCGGCAGGATGGGCAGCGAGGCCCTAATGGGCCCCGGCGTGAAGGTGGGGCAACTGAGAGAGCCCCGGCCAGGGGAGGGCTAGGAACCCAGCCTCGGCCTCCAGTTCTGCTCAACTTCCCAGCGACTCGCTGGGCGCGCACCCAAGGAGGCATCGGCCACCAGGCCCCACCCCTTGCCCTGAGGCCCCGCCCCTGGACATGAGGTCCCGCCCCGTGCAGGCCCACCTCCCCGAGCCCGCCCAAGTCCACGCCCCCGGAGCCGGAGCCCTGCGGGTCAGAGCTGAGCCGCCCAGGCTGAGTTCTGGACCGTCCAAGGCCAGCGGACCCCGAACCGGGTCTTTAGAGAAACCTTTGAGCGCGGAGGCTTCTGGGGAATAAAGTTCTCGCCGGCCGCCCCAGGCCTGTTGCGCGCATGCGCCAGCCTCCGCCTCGCAGCAAGGGGCGGAGCCTGTAGGGGCAGTGGGCGGGGCTTTTGGAGCCTGCGCAATGAGCATCTGTCACACACCTGCGAGGTCCCGGGCCCCGGGAGGACTTCCCTCCTCACCCGGTGCCACATCGGTAGAACTCGTGCCCGGACCGGTCTGACTGGCCTCATGCAGGCCACCCCGGTCACCCCGGCCTCTGAGCCACGTCTGATTTGGTCCCGCCCTTCCTTGGGGGTTCACTTGGGCACCAAGGACTGGGGGTGCGTGTCCCGGCCCCACCCTACTGCCCAGATGGTTCTGGGGGAAGATCACCAGTGCCAGGCCCAGACCCGAGTGCTCACATCCATTGTCACCACAAAACACGGCGACCCTGTGTGGCAGGTGCCACCTTGCCCCCTGACAGATGAAGGTGGGAGGAGGTGTAAGTTCCAATGGTGGAGACGCTGGTGAGGTGGGGAGCTTGCGGTCTCCGAGCCCACCAGGGAGAGGGAAACTGCAGTTTCAGAAATGAGCCAGAAGGGACACCTGGGTGGCTCAGTCGGTGAAGCGTCTGCTTTCGGCTCAGGTCCTGGTCTCAGGGTCCTGGGATCGAGCCCCATGTCGGGCTCCCCGCTCAGCCGGGAATCTGCTTCTCCCTCTCCCACTCCCCCTGCTCGTCCTCTCTCTCTCTCTCTCAAAAAAAAAAAAAAAAAATAAAAAAAAAAAAAAAGAAACGAGCCAGAAGTGTCATTTGTCAATGAAGCCCCTGTGCGTCGCCCATTTTAAGAATAGTTATAGCAAAGGTGTGTAAATCAAACCTTCTTTATTGGTTAAAAAATGCAAACCTCCAAGCAGCCTGTGCTCTCAAACACCTTAGTCTCTGTGTGCCAGGTAGAGGCTTTGCTTGAAGTGAGGACCTCTGTCCTCTGCCTCAAGCAGGGGCTTCGAGGTGTGTGAGTGATGGCCTGGGATCTGAGGCTGACAGCAGGCTTGCCTCCTGCCCTCCTTCCTGGCAAGCTGCAGGTCTTTGGAGGGCCGAGGACGTGCCCCAGATGCGTGGAGGCTGAGTCACCCGGGCTGTCAGTGCCCCTTGGAGCCCCGGCAGGGGCCACCACCCACCAGAGCAGGAAGGGTGGGTGACTTCTGTGCTGGACGAGCCGGGCCTCCTGGGATCCTGGGAACCCCATCTTTGAGCTCCACCCCACGGCCCCACCCCTCCCCAGGAGGGAAAAGGCAGCTAGCTGCCAGTTACTTACCTCAGAGGCACTGGGACCTGGCCCACAGGACGAGAGGGTCAATGGCTGCCATCACGACTTCAGGTGGGTGCTGGGCTGAGGGGCTCCCCTGCACTGGGGCTCAACCGTGGGCACAGCCCAGCTGCCTCCCCAGCCTCCCGGCCCATTTGCAGCTCCATCGCAGGGCACCGCCGTGCGGGGAGGGCGGCTGGGACACAGGCCGGCTGCCCCGCGGCGGGTGGGGGCAGCTTTCTTGGGCTGTAGCTTCCCTCCTCCCCCGAGCCAATACTGCCTCCTCTGTCTGCCCCTGCCAGGCCGGGCCACGGACCCGCAGGAGGCGGTCGTCAAGAACCCCTATGCCCGAGTCAGCATCCCCCGGGCTCACCTGCGGCCCGACCCGGGGCAGCAGCTGGAGGTGGCGCCCTCTTCCCGGGGCTCGCAGCCTCTGCCTGCGGGGCCCTGCCCCTCGGAGCCCACCCGGCTCCTGCAGCCCACCGAGGAGGCCCCAGAGGGCAAAGGCGCCAAGGGGACCAGGGGGGCCGCCCAGATCCAGGGCCGGCAGGCCTGGCCGCAGCCTGGCCACCCCCCCGGGAGTGGGCAGTGCCCGGCAGCGCTGACCCACGCCGGCCGGCCGCCCGTCGGGCGCGGGGACGACATCGCCCACCACTGCTGCTGCTGCCCTTGCTGTTCCTGCTGCCACTGCCCTCGCTTCTGCCGCTGCCACAGCTGCTGCTCCATCTCCTAGCCCCGCCCCCGCCAGGCCACGCGCTGCTGCCCCAGGGCCCGCCGCGGCCCGGGCGCCACAGCGCTGCCCTCCTCCTCGGGGCAGCCACCGGCCCGTTGGCACGGGCGCTGGCCCCTCCGCACCCTGCACGGGAGCACCTACCTGCCGAGAAGGCCGACCGCCCGGCTCCAGCCCCTGGCAAGCGGCCAGCCCCGGCTGGGATGGCCCCGGGGACAGCCGCCACCACCTCCCCCGAGGCCCACGGCCCAGGCAATAAAGTGGAGCGAGCTTTGCTCCGGTTGCTGTCCTTCACTGCTGCGCCCTGGAAGAGGGTCCCGGGCTGCACAACACCGCGGGCCTCGGTCTCTGTGGGACACTCAGGGGTGGGGAAGCCACCCCATGTTGCTGGTCTCGGGTCTGTCCGAGGCTGGACCGGAGGGGTGGGAGAGTGTCCCCTGCCCTGGCCCACCAGCCAGGCCTGGGTTCCAGCTGCCTTGCATTCCCTAGGGCTGAGGCCAAGGCTGGCGGACAGGTCAGGCAGTGGGTCAGTCGGTAGGAGGATGTTATGCATGGAGCCGGGGTGGGGTGGGGGGAGCCCGAGAGAGGCCTCCAGGAGGAGGATCACCCTGGCAGGACCGCAGCAGGTGGGACTGACTCTGGCAAATTTCTGGGAGTAGGAACCCAGGCAGCCAGCACCAGGCCCTGCCCATCCGTGAGTCACTGCCCTACCTCAGCTGGGGTGTTTTTCTGGTTCCTCATGAAACGTCCAATTCCTCAACATCTGCTGTGTGGCACCCAAGCCATGCTGCTCATCTGCCGTCCTGCCTCCAGGGCCTGGCCCTCCTGCATGAGGGGAGCAGGAAAGGAGCTGGCCGGTGAGGCCCCTCAGAACACAGATCTCCCATCTGTCTGGGCAGCGTAACATGCCTGCCCGGGAGCACGTGTGGGGAGCTAAGCTGCTGGACGCTGGCATCGCCTCACCGCTGGGGGGCGGCTGGGCTGCCGGGGCAAGGACCGAGGGGTAAGGCCTGCGCTGGGCACTCTGACGGTTCCAGGGCCAGGCAGAGACAGCCGGAGGAGGAGGCGGAGCTGGCCTCGCAGGATGGACGGGTCCTGGTGCCAGCCCTCCTCTGACCCAGGGTGACTGTCCACAAGGCAAGACCTACCTCTGGGTGTGGGTAGCTATGTCATTGGTCTGACTGTGCAGGCCCTCAGGTGGGCCAGGTTTCCGGCCCCTGCCCCATGGCCTGCCTCCACCAGAGGATGACCCCACCCGGGCCAGCCGCAGAAACCCGATGGACCAGTCAGGGAGGCTGCGGACTGCGGGGTGGTGGGACTGAGGAGGAGCCCCTCTGGTTCTTGGCTTCCTCCCAGCTGGGCAGTGAGGGTCCTGATCCCACCCTGACCATTCTTGACACACCCCATTCTGCTGTGCCCGCAGTCACGGCCGCCATGCCGGCCCAGGGGCCATAACCAGGCAGGTGCTGGGGGGAGGTGGCCCTCATGCGGGCGG